CAGTTGGAAGCTTTACCTGTGCTTTCCAGAGAGTACCTCAGGACTCTTGCTTTTCAGGAACAGCAGGATGAAGTGAAGTTAGCAGACTACTTGGTGTTCCTAGAGCATGTTCTTGGTGCCCACGAAGGTCTCTGTGGTGCTGCAGGGAACCCTTTATCCACAGAAGCCATTCTCTGCTGCAGAAGGAGTGTCCCTGTGGCCAGTTTGCATCTCACCACAGACACACACATCCAGCACTCAGCTTCTGGCCCACACCCACAGCTTTGCCACAACCGGCAATTAAAGGAATTTCTATCTAAAGGCATTTGAAACTAAAGCAGATGCTCTGCAGTTTGTAATGCCAAATAATTTCAAGAAGAGTATCACTTGAAAGATGTTCCTTTTTTTCCTATCATTTGTGCTATTCAGAAATACATATATCTGGATGAGTTATTTCAGTAAACCTCTCTTCTAAACTCTGTATCAAGAATTAACACATGCTCATTGCCAAGTTCTGTGCACTTTATCTGGAATACTAGAGATATCCAGGTCAATCTAACAGCATTATAATTAACAGGCATATTTTATCAAAAATTTAGAATACCTCTTTACTACAGAAATCTGAGGGCCTTCATAATTTCCTTTTTCCCCCCTCCAAGCACCATCCAGAGTGGTCTTAAAAAACATGAATTCATGGGCAACTGAATGAGACTTCTTAATCTGGATAGAGCTGCAGGTTTTTCATTTGTCTGTGAAAATGTTACTTGAGCTTATGAACACATTTCACAGCATGTTCTTACAGCAGAAATAGACTCTTTAAAAGCACTATTTCCCTGAAGTTTCAGATGCTCTTTAATAGCATAGTCATTCTTTTACAGTTCTTAGATTTTTTTCCTGAGCCCATCTCTGACCAAACATCAAATATGGGGGGTTTGGAGTGGGTTTTTTTTGTATGTTTGTTGGTTTGGGTGTTTTGTTCATTTGGGGTTTTTTTGATGGCATTGTGTTTGGTTTCTATTCTTTTATTCTTTGCTATTTTTTTGCAAAGATTTAGCATTAAACTGTAATAATACCTACACCTGATCAGTTCTACTCTATCTCAAAGCCCCCTTCAGACATTCTGCTCCTTCTCTTCTAATTCTTCACCCTACCTCTCAAGAATGCTGCAAATTGAATCATTACACCATTTTTCAGCTTCATCACTGGTTCAACTGTTTTATATCATTTATGATCTGTGTCTGTTGTTTTATTATCTCATCTTTTTATGTCGGAAGCTTTGTTAGAGGACCAAACTTCTATCTGTTAATAATTATTTGATGATTAGTGCTTATACATGTATGTCTTAAACATTTTCATTTTCTCTGAAAAGAAATTACAATACTATAAAACCTGTGCATTTTACACCTCATATAGAATTTATCTTTTTCTACCTCTGAATTTGTATATTTTTATGTGGTGGATATTTACATATAATATATCCTTCTCAGGCACAAATAGCTGCCTCTTCTAACATGTACCTTTATACCTTTATACCTACTGCAACTCTCATCCAATATGCTGGGGTTTTTTTTGTGACCCACAAGCACAACAACATAGACAGGAAGAAAATCGGAGCTACTGATACTGAAACTGTGTTTCTCATACTGGCAAGAGTTTCAGTTTATTCTGCACATTTATCAACAGTTCTCTAATTGTCATTACTTGGAAGGTACTTACGGTGATGAGTGTTGTATTTTATGATTTCTAACTAGCCCTTTATGTTATAAGTTCTTATAACACTTAAATATGCTGTTAAATGCTGCATAAATTTGATATTGCACTTCTGTAATTAACTAAAATATTGCTGTTGACTTCAGCCAGCAAGATGTTAGGCTCCAGGGAGAAAGATCCCTGTGAGCACTTCAAGCACAAGTATCACTCCAGGGTGTTATCCCTTCAGTATAAAAGCTGATCATACCCCATGGTTAAAATTACTGTATCTACTGTGTATGTTTTTAGAAATGCACAGAAGTCTCATTAGTTCCTATATTCAACAACATTTACAGCTTTACAGTATAAAGCTCTTTATTGCCACCTGAGTGAACATTTTCATCAAAAAAACTGGAAAACATTGGCTAGTTAAGTTAGCTCAGTCATGACAGAAAATGTGTACTGGCTTTCTCTTTGGCTGGGATATTTTTGCCTCTGACCCTCAAAAGAAATTTCTATAACCACAGAGAAAATACAACAAACGCTAGAAATACAGCAAAATATAAATTGCATTTTCTGGTTTTCACTTGTGTGCCTCACAAACATCTCCAGTAGAGCAGCCTATGGAACATTCCCATTGCACAGCCAGGAAAGATTCTGGTTTCTGTATGCTGAGAAACAGGAAGGCTCCACCACAGCAGTGTCCATGTCTTGCCAACAAGCCATGATGGCCATTTTGTATCAGTCTTTGAATATTCATGAGTAAGCACAGCTGAACTAAATTTCACCGTCTTTCCCTTTCTCAGATTCCATCATGTTCAGATCCTGGTCTCACCTGTGTCTGAATCTTTCTGCAGTGTTTTCCTGTGTCTTTTCCTGAAGGTTATAGACCAGTGGAAAGCTCCCATAGATATAACATTATTTATTGTCACCATTGCATCATCTCTTTAGAGATGATCACTTACTCTTTAATTCTTGAAAGAACTGCTAGTCCTAATTTCTGGGATAAACTGTCTCATTCTATGAATCAATGACACAAAATAACCTTATGACCTTCATTTCAGGGCCATTCCTTCTGCAAAAAGATTTATCCCACTGCCTGTAATATTTTTACCATATGCCTGACACATCGTGAAGGAAATAAGGATGCAGAAAAAGCAGATGAAAAAAAAAACCAACCAAAAAAAGCCCCTGACAAAAAAAAAAAAATTCCAAACCCAATATGAATTACCCTAACACATCTGGGAATCTTCTGGAATAGTATTATTTAAGTGCACATCTCTCTGCATTTAAAAAATATTTGTTATTGAGGTAGCCTAGTTCTTTACAATGAGCCAACTTCATTGCTGTATTAGCATTTAGAAAAGGAAGCATTACCTCTGTTAGGCTTTTGGGTAGTTTAATTTCCAGTCAATTTGACCATCAAGTAAAATTACAGTGCTAGGCTGAATTTCTCCCTGTGGTGAAAAGCCCCTTCAAAAGCTATCTCCAGTCTTCCTTGTAATGCTCAAAAATGTATGTAAAGAGAAAATCACTGAAGCACTTGCAAATTGGATCATAGTCGGAAAATCTCAAAAGCAATATATGCTGCTGTCTACAAGGATGGAGAAACAGTAGAAGGGATACAATTCCAGAATTAATTTTAATTTCTAGAATTACACAAAAAAAACCCTCCTTTATTTTTCATTTTCATAAAGATGAAGCTGAACATCAAAGGGAAAATGCTAAAAGGAAATGTGAAATGGGATAGAGAAGGGACAAGTTAAACCTAGAAAGTTTTGCACAACAATCACAGAAAGAGAAAATTAGGAAAACAGTAGATTTGTTGGATTTCTTTCATGTTCTTTTCTTTTTTTAAGTGAGACATGAAGAAATATTTTTTCATGTGTAATTTTTGTTAATAATATATTGAACATTGTAAGAGAACAAAGGTAACATCTGATTCAAGTGAGCAAGGAAGCTAGATTTCCTGAAAAGAAGGATTAAATGGAAAATCATAATGAGAAAAAAGTGAAGAAAGATCCTGTTTCCTCTGCAAGAGCATGCATTTCCATAGGCTCAAAGCCAAGTCAGAGGTGCAGCACTGTACATATTACCACAGGGGACACAGCAGCTCTAAGGAAGCACCCTGAGGTCCAGCCTTGGTGCTCAATGTGTTTCCAACACAACAGTAATCCTTACACAGTGTTAAGAAATGAAGAAATACGTACAGCTCTCAACAGGTGGAAGGTTCACAGAAACCCTGGCTCAGATTCTTGAGAAAATAAAAGCCCAGTAAGTCATAGAGTTTCCTGAGCGTCAGCAGATGATGCTTCAGGCATTCAGATATGATGTATGAGACACCTGATGGACATTCCCAGTCCCACCTGCACCTCAGGCTGGACACCTGGGTGAAGCTCCCACCAGCTCCTGTGATAGCTTAGCCCTGGTGAGACTCAGGAACGACTGCAGGCTCGAGCACAGTTCTTTGCACTTCTGCATACCCTCAACAGCCCTTACAGGAGGAAGGCAGGCACCACTGAGACACCATCTCCTAGCTGCCAATCTAGCTGTCAAATCTCTCTCTTTGCCACTGGCCACACACTTGCACTTACCAACGTCTGCTTTAAAGCCGAAAGTGGGAGTAAATGTAAACATATTAAATGCACAAGAAAAAAAACCTGGGACTGAAGCTACACGGATGTACTTCCATATCACAACCAACAGAGGAGAATCAGTGACACGCCATTTTATTGAAACTGAAGAGCTGCACACAGTATTTGTTCTGTTGCACATTTCAAGAACTTTAATTCCTCTTGCTTCAGATTAGCTATGACACTCCTACCATTAATAACTCACAACTGACTATAGTTAGAAGAGGAGTAGAGATCCAATTCTCCTTTTTCATCATAGAAATATCAGAAATATTACTTCCGGCTCCAAATATCCCAGGCACTGTAAGGAGCAACTAAAAGAAATGAGCATTTCATTACAAAGTAATCATAAAACAGCACAAGTGTTCTTTTCCTGATCCTAACAGACAGAGATAGATCTGTGATGCCATGCAAAAACAATTGGCAGTACTTCCTTGGGTTTAGAAAGCAGCTGGGTAACACACACCTCTCTTCCCCACAGCAACACAGCCTCTTTTATAATCAAAAGTGAAAACATGCCTTGAACTGTAGGGCATTGCTCTGCATCCCCAAGTTAAATCCACTTATACAGGAAAACCAAGAGCCTCCATCCCAGCCTGATGGGGGCAATTGGCACAGAAACCCGACTGGTCTTGCACAGTAACGTGTCTCTCCTCTCCTAGAGGTACATTCCAAGCTGCAAGGGTAAGAGGTACCTACCCTTTTTTGCACTGTTTGCATTGTTCCTGAAATACGGATTTCTGCATTATACAGGAAATATGAATAGACTTGTGAGCACTTCAGCTTGAAAATAAACTAACAGCTCTGCACCCTTTGTTCTCAGTCTCCAAGGTTACCACTTGTGCTTTTCATGAATGCTACTGTTTACTTCCTTCCTTTCCTTCTTGTTTACTTGTTTAGAGCATGGAAAAACATAGACACTAAAACGCCCTGCATTACAGACAGATTCCATTTCCAGATGAGGACAGAAGGTGGACAGAGGTGCCAGTGACAAATCTGCCAAGTATGTTCCATCTCAGCAGTCTGTGAAAAGGGCTCAGAGAAAGCTACCTGGCTCGGGGGAGCTGATGTGTATGGCTCTAATACAGTCCTGGATCACAAAACCCTGCCTACACCAGTTTTTCACACACAACCTGGAGGAACAAGCAGCAAGAGATGTTTGGGGAATGCAGAAAGGGAAACAGTGTGGAGTTGTGTTTTCCCACGCTTTGAAAAATGTAAGCTCCACAATTAAAACTATGCCTCAGATAACATTTAGCTTCAAGTGAGCTAGAGGGTAGACCTCACTTTGGAAGCTCAATGAGGCCAAGCCCATCTTTCCAATAAGCTTGCAAAAAAGATCTTAGTCTAGAACTGTAGCTATATCTGTACATCGAAAAGAAGTAAGGGTTGCTGTAAGAACTTAGAATATAATTAAAAATGCTTGTATTTACACTGACACTATTAAATGAGGCTTCCAAAACTTTCTTACTGCTGGAGAAAAAATCCATTAAATCCTAAAATATCTATTGCAGTAATGGCTTTAATATTTTTGAACCACAAGAACATGCATTTACTCTACTTGTATTTTGAGCCAAAAGTACAATTAATGAGATCTGAAATTCCATTGTTTTTAACTGAAGTAGTTTTATTCACATACCTGCTGAGCTATTTGGCATGTGGAACCCAAGACACAAAAAGGAGATGTGTTTCAAACCTCAAGATACACTCAAGCATTCTAGAGAGCTTCTTGTAGGAGAGCACAAGCATTTGAAATATTTGAAGCTAGATTCAAAAGAGGGTGCTGTGCAAAAACACTGTAAGTATCAAGTCTCCTGTCTGTTAATAATTTCTCATCTATCAGAACTATGAAGTGGAGAAACTGTGAACAAATCTTTCAACAGGTAAGCAAAACATACTTTGTTATAACATATGAATCATAAAAATGACTCTTGAAAATATTAAAAATTACTTTTTGTAATTTTTAATTACAAGAGTAATTAAAAATTACTCTTGAAAATATTGTGGTTTGAAGTGAAGACATTTCAGGAAGAAAGGTATTAGATAAGGAACAAAATATGACTCAGTGGAGCCAGGTGGGAAAAGAGACTGGAAAGCAAAGGCAGGACTACAGTCACCAGTTTTCCCAGGTGCACTGAAAACCAGAGAAGGTTACTGAAGAGAAATTTCACACTAATCAGAACTTGGTTTACTTTTCTTTTTCCTAGTACAAACCCTACCCCTTTGCCTTTCTGGATCCCATCTGTTGTCATCCTTGACAGTGTCCTCAGGTGACCATGAAGAGCCCCAAAGCACAGGGGCAAATGAAGCACCAATAAAAATGTGCACATACCCTTCAGGCCCATGCTGCTTGGGCAAGCTAATGAGTTCCTGGATTTCTGATCTATTTTTCACCAAACTGAAGTGTTATGAGGCTGGCACAGCCCAGGTGTCCCAATGAGCTGTTTCCTGTATGTAAGGTAGAACCTTTACAGGAAAAAAGGACAGCCAGCAGAGAACAGCTTAATACCCCAAGTGACTAAACTGTCATACCCTGTAGTGGCAGGTCTCCAAAATCCCTCATGCACTCCCCAATACTTCTGCATTCCCCAAACATCTCTTGCAGCTTGTTCCTCCAGGTTGTGTGAGAAAAACTGGTGTAGACAGGGTTTTGTGATCCAGGACTGTATTAGAGCCATAAACATCAGCTCCCCCGAGCCAGGTAGCTTTCTCTGATGGATCTTCCCTTTCAAAGAAAGGAAGAGTGTTATCAAGATAAAAGTTTATATTCTTCATGACCCTCATTTTGAATCTCACCAGGAAAATGTGGAAACTTCCCTTTACCTAATGGATAGTATTTTTCAGAATTCAATGCCATAAATTTTATATATGCTATCAATTACGTCAAGCACCAGGAAAAATGCTTTACACAAATGTGCGGGAGGGCAGGAAGTCTGACATAGCTATTCTTCAAAGAAAACAAAAATGACACATGAAGATGATGGAGAAATTCATTTTTTCTGAAAGTACAGACAAATAAAGGCCCTGGGTGTAGCACCAAAAACCATGTCTGAAAACACATGTAAAATACACTATAGCCATTGTCTAGTTATATAAAACACATATACAATACTTCTAAGGCCTCCTCTTAAACATGTCTATTCCAGTACACTGATGACAATTAAGCTAATTAATTACATTAGTTATCACAGTTATATTTGTTACTGTAGTAAACAGGCTGTATGTTTAACAGAAGTACCACTAAAACACCATCTAACAGCACTGGAAATAAACACAAACTGAAGTGGTTACCTTTTGTTGAGCATTTACTAAATTTTATGTTTTTTGTAAAGATTTATTCATAAGGATGTCTAGGAAAACCAAAGGTTTTTTAAATTAACATGCACATCTAAACTAAATGTAAATGCATGGTCCATTTTTTAAATGCTTGGGTCTGTCTCAGAAAGGCCAGAAAGCACATATGCTGCTCTAAACAGGCCCAAGTGGTTTTTGTTAACTCAAAAGATGCTTAAGAAATACAACTACAAGCACATATATACTTCACTGACTAGGCTCGATTTGATTTGAAAGGCAAAGAAAGAATGTATAATCTGTTCAGTGTAGATGAAAGATGTAACATTCTAAGTTTAGTGCACAATTTTTAAATTTTAGAATTTGTGGTTCTAACTTTTGAATATAAAAGTAGTCTATTTTTATTGGTTGAGAACTCCAGTAAATCTTTCTTCAGTTTTTTGACAATAGTAGTAGCTTTTTGCCAAGCTGCATTGGTATTTTCCCCTCTCACACCACCATATGTACATGCAGGGCTATCAAAGTCCTCCTCATTACCCAAAGGATACCCTGGCAAGGAACTGGAACAGCAACCCTACAGAATTACTCTGTACTTGGTCTGACATTATTTTCCAAAAAATTCAATTCTGGAAAATTAAATGAAAAACTGAGGAAAACCAAGCATTTGACCAGAATCCCTGAGAGGTGTATAATGTCTCTCACATGGATTTTATAATATTGTTTTGGGACTTTCTTTCATGTGCTCTGTGAATCTCAAATACTGACAGAATGGCTCATATACCAGAGAAAGTTTATAAAAAAATGTACCAGCATGCTTCACGTCATTCCAGGAGGCAAAAATTATCAGAAACATTTGTATAAAATGCTTTCAGAGTGAAAACTACTGTATTACAGGATATTTGATCATAATGGAAAAAAAAAAAAAAAAAAGGAATAACCAGAATTTTGTCTGACTTGTGTCTTGGTTCAGGAAAAGAACGCCCTGAGTTTTTTAGAATTCTTATCAACATGGTGGTGTCTATCTCAGTTATAAGAAATTCTCATAATTGTCTCCTCATGGACATTTCCCCTTCCAAAGGTAACCTCAATGATCCATGACTGACTCACTAAGATCTAACCCACCATAATTATTGGTATTTCTATGTTTGATGTTACAGAGGCTGAAAAAAGTAAGTTATAGTGGAATGAATACCACAGAGCAGAATCTATATTTTATGCTGTTGGCATGCGTAGAATTTAGCAGGACATTTCTTCTGTTTATTCATTTATCCTGAATTCATGTTATACTGAATGGAATTTCTACTTATCCTCAACTGCACTCAATACTGCAATGTTTTATTAAAAATTGCATATTGTTACAATGAGTACAGAAGATAAGTTACTTTCAGTCAGTATGCATGACTTTCTTACACACACTCTTAAAATTCCAGTTATCCAAAGCTAAGCTTTACTCACAATACACTTTAAAAACAGTTGGGACAGATTTTTCACTCTTAGGAAAGCCAGTTTCAAATGAGAATCACAAATACAGAACAAATCATTCCAAAGAACAAAATGTCTGCTTGCACAAAGCAATGCTGCTTCACAGTGTCCTTACTACATTTAGAAACCTGGAGATACTCATTTCACTTTATGATTCTTCCCTCAGAAATGTTCATAATGCATGAGATTGACTTTGCACAGGTTCACATATGCAGGAAGCGATTGCCTGTGTAAGTGGCTTATCTTTGAAGAGTTGTTTAATAATTTAGGACTTAACTTTTGCAGTCCCACAGCTCATAATTCACTTCAAAATTTTATGCATAAACATTTCTTATTGCTCCTTGCTCAGCTCAAAACCAATGTCCCTGCATGCCAGAACAGGGTGCTTTACCACATCAGTTTGGGACACGTTTACAACTGAGGGAAATCAGTCTTTCAATATAAGGAATGTGTATCACTGTCATTGCTTCTCTTACAGATCTTATGTGGACATTTTAAAATGCAAGGGTAAGAAATTTTCTCCAACTCACTGTGCCAAGCCTCAGAGTCCCTTCAAACACAAAAGGCTGAACTTCTATTTCTCTTTTTTTTAATGCCATGAAATTACAGCTGCCAATACTGGTTTGCCATACAGATAATACCTTTAATTATCTAAAGCATGTTAGGAAATAACTGCACAGAATTTTAAAAAAAAGTAATACAAGATAAGAAAAACTGGAGCCACTATTTTAATTACATATAGAATTAATCTTAAAACATGTAAATAACCTTATTAAAATTTTAACTAGCAAAGAGAATGTAATTTTTCTTTTGCAATCCTTGGCATAAATCTACTAAATCTCTGAAACTACAACAAAAAAATGTTTATGTTAATAAACTAAATAATTCAGTGTCAAGAAACAGAGTAAAATTCAAAACTAAACATCAAACTAACTCTGAAAAATCACATACCCATGCAAATTACAGATGGTTTAAGTT